TTAAAACAAACAGAATTGATATTTTTATCGGTTGTTTTAATAAATAACACTGAAATCATAATAAAATCTTCATAAAAGTAAAAGCATGCCAAGTAACATTCATAAACACAGTCAACATTGAATGTAAATATGTTTTCGGAAAAATTGTTCTAAAAATTATTTTAAAAATTTTAAATATACACACACGAACATTAATGTTTATTAGCATGTAGAATACACATAGAATTACGCAATATACATATTAGAGTCAAAATTTGTAAATATAATTTACTACCTTTTATAAATTTACCTTTACTATATTATTTATCTAAAATAATATTCAAATAATTTTGGTTTAGAATCATAGCACATAAAAATACTTAAAATAGACAGTAAAACGATAAAAATTTATTAATAAAAATATGAATACATATCTTGTTGTATCCCTTTTATAATTTATATTTTTGTATAACTGTGTTTACATAAGCAGTATTAAAAATTATTATCTAAAAATTTATTTACATAAATCTTCATATAATTTTATCTTTCATTAGATATACTTTCAAACATACTTAAAACAAAATTATCTTCATCTAATCTAAAACAAATTTACATATTTTATCTCGTTTTTATCTAGTTTATTAAAATTAATCTTAACACAACATTGTATCATTATCAAAAATTTATTACAGTATTTTATGGTCGTGTTTTAGATGGCCTATTACAAAGAGAAGATGAAAATCTAAATACAACAAAGGTGGAGGAAACATAAACTTTGTCACTGTAATGTATTAGGATACGGTACTGGGAGCGAGCAGCGGCGCGACGGCACGAGTGGAAATGACTGATCCGCACTCGATATAGAAGTAAGTCAGTCGAGCGTGGCGAGCGTCACGGACGCACGCGGGTACATACATATATCTGTATAACTGTTACTCAGCATTAAAATATCTTACGGTGATTGCGAAGCGGAATTGGTCATCAATTGTTAATGAGCCACCTCACCCGATACACCACAATTGGCGACGAGGACAGAGGTTTTACGAACCGAAGCAAAGGTTTCGAATAGTGTGAAAGTCGTAGGAATTTCACGGTTCGGCGTAGGGTACGAGGCGACAATAAACAGAAGCACGAAAGGACGATAACAGCAAACGCGGATGGCACAAGCGACGCAAGATTTAATCGACTATACGAAAACGTCGTGGATTTATGAACTAAAAAAACCGGAACTGAGAAAAATAATCCAAGATTTAAAATTGGTGGCGGATGAAAATTTAAGTATCGACGAGTTACGCAGAATTGTACGCGCGCACGTAAGCGAGATCAACGAAAGCAGATCAAAGCAAGCGGACGAGGCTTGTAATTTATTAGTAAACAAGAAACCGAAAATCATCCACACAATGACGGAGAGTAGTAGGGCGAAATTGGAATTTCACCTCGGAGATGACTGGGAAACATACACCGAGAGACTGGAGCTATATTTTGTCGCAAACGATGTGAAGGACGAGAAACAAGCAGCGGTATTGCTAACAAAAATAAGCGCAGACACGTATAAGCTTATTAGAGATTTGTGTACACCAGTTAAGCCGTCAGCGAAGACATTTGCACAATTAGTGAAATTAGTCAACGATCACTTGAATCCAAAGCCATCGGAAACGATGGAAAGATGCAAATTTCATCAAGCACAACAATCGCATACAGAATCAGTAGCAGAATTTGCAGCAAGGTTGAAAAATTTATCAATTACATGCAATTTCGGGAACAACGCGACAACAGCGCTACGAGACCAACTTGTTTGTGGCTTAAGAGATCACGCGACGAAAACATTGTTATTTCGAGAGGAGAACTTAACGTTCGATAAGGCATTCAAGTTAGCGACAACAGTAGAATCGGCAGAAAAAAATGCTAGCTCTACAAGTAGACCAAACGGAGAGTCGTCGAAAGAAACAGTAAATAAATTTCAAGGAAATTCAGAAAATAATCGTCAGTTCCAGTCACGGGGCAAGGGGTCAAACCGAGGTAAGCAAGGGAGCCCACAGCATAACAATAATACACGACCAGGGGTCAAAGATAAGCGGACGACAAACATAAACCAAGAACGTTCTTCTTCATGTTACTGCTGCGGAAAAAATAATCACTGGGCACGTGATTGTTACCATCGCTTCAACACGTGTAATATCTGCAAGCAGAAAGGACACTTGGCTTCAGTATGCAAAACCGGAAGAGCAGTCCAGCATATACAGCAGGGTACAGATGACCACGAGGAACAGCAACGGGACGAGTACGACTTCTTCATGGCAACAGACGGCAACGACTCATCAAAAACAACAAGCGGTAAATTATACTATAAGGACCATGTAAATGATGTAGAAGCGGAACCAATGTATATGAGTATGATGATTAACGGAAAAAGGATAGAAATGGAAATTGATACAGGGTCATATGCGGCGATAATTTCAAAAAAAGATAGAGAATTGTATTTCCCGAACTGTGAAGTCAAAGCAAGCAAAGTACCGTTGAAAGCATATGGCAAAGTGTTGTTAGAACATGAAGGGATACTTGATAACTTAGATGTTAGGTTAGGTAAACAAAGAGCAACACTTCAAATGCGAGTAATGACGAGAGACGGTCCTATATTAATTGGTAGACACTGGTTGAAAGTCTTTGGGTTGTGGCCTTTCGAATTAAAGAAAAGAGTTGAATTTTGCAACAAAATTAACTTAATGAGCGTAACAAAAGATTTCACATCTAAATATCCAAAATTATTCGGTAAAGGACCAGGTTTATACAATAAAGGAATGCTGAAACTAATGGTAAAAGAAGGTACGAAACCTGTGGCACTAAAAGCGAGACATTTACCATTCGCGTTGGCAAGTAAAGTTGAAGATGAGATAAACAGACTAGTAAGATTAGGTCATTTAGAGAAAATCGATGTCAGTGAATGGGCAACACCGATTGTCCCGGTAATAAAATCAGACGGATCTGTTAGAATTTGTGGAAATTTTAAACTAACGTTAAATCCCAGCTTGATTAGAGACAGGCACCCAATACCATTAATCGACGAGATTTTTGTAGCGTTAAGAAACGGTAAAACTTTTTCACAGATTGATCTGCAGCACGCTTATATGCAGATCCCGGTAGAGGAAAGCAGTCGAGATTTCCTGACAATAATAACGCACAAAGGTCTCTACCGGTACACAAAAATGACGGAAGGAATTGCATCAGGTCCAGGAGATTTTCAGCGGAAAATAGAGCAGTGTCTATCAGGCATCGATGGTGTAATTCCTTATCTAGACAATATTTTTGTAACGGGAGAAACCGACGAAATTCATTTAAAAACATTGTATATGGTATTCCAAAGATTAGAACAAAGTGGATTTCATGTAAATATCAATAAATGTGATTTTTTCAAAGAGAAGCTAGACTTGTTAGGATTTGTTATTAACAAGGAGGGATTACACAAATCAGAAACAAAAGTGAAAGCAATGACAAATGCACCGGTACCGCGAAATAAGAAACAATTAGAATCTTTTATCGGATTGATTACTTATTATGCGAGATTTCTACCTAATAGAGCAGAAAAGTTACAACCTTTATATAAATGTGCTAAAGCGGAAACGTTTAAATGGACGGTAGAATGTCAAAAAGCAGTTGATTGGGTCAAAATGGAATTAATATCACCTCGAGTATTGGCACACTACGATCCGAAAGAAGATTTAGTATTGTCATGTGATGCGTCCACGTATGGATTAGGAGCAATTTTAGCGCACCGATATAAAGATGGTACGGAGAAACCAATAGCTTATGCATCTAAAGTAATACCGGAAAAAGAATTAAATCGCGCAATCATTGATAAGGAAGCCAGTGCAATCGTATTTGGATTTAAAAAGTTCTACAACTATATTTACGGAACAACTACACTAACGTTACGGACAGATCACAAACCTTTGGTTTTTATCTTTGGTCCAAAGCAAGAAATTCCTTTGACGGTAGCAAGTAGATTACAAAGATGGGCGTATTTTCTATCGAGATTTACATACACCATAGAGTACGTTACATCGCAGGAAAATAGAAACTGTGATGCACTGTCGAGACTTCCGATTAACGATAGCATTCAGATATTTGATAATGAATTTACAATGATAAATTATGTTTCAGAAGCTTTAGATACATTAAACGCGGAAAAATTGCAAAAGAAACAAAGAAGGATAAGCTATTGAGTAACGTTATTAAGTATATAAGCGGTACATGGCCAGCGGTAAGCGAGATGAATGAGGATGAGAATAAATTCTATGCGAAACGGGATGAATTGAATGTCGAAAAAGAGTGCTTACTGTGGGGATATCGCATAGTGGTACCAGAAGCAGTAAAACCCAGTGTTCTAAGTGAATTGCACGCGTCACATTTTGGGGTGGTAAAAATGAAAATGTTGGCAAGAAACTATGTGTGGTGGCCAAACATTGATAAAGACATTGAGAATGTAGCAACGGCATGTAAAGTGTGCGTGCAAGAGAGAAAGAAACCGCCTAATGTTCCGCTAACGCCATGGCCGTATCCCGATAAGTGCTGGAGTAGGATACATACTGATTTCCTAGGTCCTGTTCATGGACATATGTTCATGGTAGTAATGGATGCGTATTCAAAATGGCCAGAAGTTATCGATATGAACAAATGCACCACGGCAGGGAGGGTCATTGAGGAGTTTAAGAAAATTATAGTTAGGTACGGATTACCGAAGCATGTAGTAACTGATAACGGCACACAATTCACGAGTAACGAATTTCGAGAATTTTGTAAAGCGAACGGTATCAAGCAGAGTTTCACAGCACCGCATCATCCAGCAACAAATGGTGCAGCTGAAAACTTTGTCGGTACTTTCAAAGATAAAGTCAATAAAATAATGCTAGGCGGGAAATCATTAGAATATGCAGTTAATCTTTTTTGTTTGACTATAGATCCATTGAGCATTGCACTACAGGCAGATCACCGGCGTTCATGATGTTTAAACGAGAAATAAGAACGCGCTTTGAGTTAATGAAACCGAGTGTAATCGATGATGTAGAGAAACAACAGAGAGCGCAAATCATAAGTAGACGCGGTAATCGAAATGTTGAGTTCCAAACAGGTGACATGGTAATGGTTGAGGATTTTGGTGTCAGAAGTAAAAAACGGGTCGTAGGCACGATCGAAGAAAAAGTATCACCGGTAACGTTTAGGGTGAAGGTTGCACCTGATAAGCTATGGAAACGACATGTCGATCAAATCATTAGATACACACCGACGGTGGCCGATAACGATAAAGGTACAGCGGTACCAGCAAGCGAATCTCGAGTGAAGCTACGCCGCTCGGAAAGAACAAGTAAAGGGGGCGAGTTGTAATGTATTAGGATACGGTACTGGGAGCGAGCAGCGGCGCGACGGCACGAGTGGAAATGACTGATCCGCACTCGATATAGAAGTAAGTCAGTCGAGCGTGGCGAGCGTCACGGACGCACGCGGGTACATACTACTTATATCTGTATAACTGTTACTCAGCATTAAAATATCTTACGGTGATTGCGAAGCGGAATTGGTCATCAATTGTTAATGAGCCACCTCACCGATACACCACAGTCACAAAAGGCATAAATTCTGCGATACAATTGCAAAATTATTTGTCTCAAATTCTTTTTTACCATTATTTTTACAATAATAGATCAAACAAAAATTATTTCAATGGCTCAATCAATAATATATTAAAATTCGATAATGTAATAAAATTCTCGGGTAACATCAATGTATATGTAAAGCGTTTGCATAAAAATATACTTTTTCTTGAGCCTACAGATAAGCTTATAGATGAGCTGAAATATATGTTTTATATTGAGGAGATTAAATGCTTGGTCACGGCATTTCCCAGTAGGATCTTCATATATATTATAATGCTACTATTATTACAATTTAATGTATTTATTCATTAGTTAATAATTCATTATATATAAATTTTTAGGAAAATTGATCGAAATCAATCCAAGAATTTTGCAATATAAAAATGTCTCACTATGAGAAGATATCTTCGATACGAAATGAGTTGACAGATATATACAGAAACCTGAAAGAGAACAGCTTTTGGAAGAAACATGTACTTTCATAGCACAACGTATTCAACCTCGAATAGATGTATGTTACACGAATGTAAGTGCATCATTGGATACAATCGCACAAGAGGTACTGACTTGTCTCAGAGTGAAGCATCCGAACCATTCGATATTCTCCACGTCAGAAGAAACTTTTTCCTATTGGAAAAGCAACAATATCGAAGATAATCATTGGAACGAAACAGAAAGTACGCAGATTATGGATACACTTAAGAAATATATATTTGGTACCATAAACTTTTGACCATGTAGCTACTCACGTAATGTAGACATCAAATGTTTGTGTATAAATTATGTAAGTTATAGATTATAATACATATATAATTATGGGCTATATATATGTATATGTTATATATTGTTCTTAATATACTCTCGCTTAAATTAATTTATTCTGTATTGCACCTGGCACAGATTTTACAAAGTAAACATGGTCAAGCTATCATTATATTTGCAATATTTCATAGCGTGGCTAGAAGACTTGGTCTACGTTGCGATATAATACTTATTTGGCCTCGCTATTGTATATTTTGGAGACCGAAATTGTAAGTATAGATACATTAGATTCGACATTATCATCATTTTTCGGTAATCTTTCTTTTCTTCTTATACGCATACATATATAATTTTTATTATAAATATTTTTATAAGGATTAAAATAATATTTTAACTGTTTACAGCGTCACAAGTAGTTTAAAAAATGCACAATGCTTTCACATAAAAAACGAGAATTTCCCGAATTGTCTTTTTTATCATATATCAGTGTACAGGATGCAAACAAATTGCTTTCGCGACCTCGCAATAACAACTAAAAAGGTTGAAAATTATTTATTTATTATTTATATTAATTTTAAGTTAATAATATACTTGTAAATTTACAAAGAATCAATAAATTACAATAAATATGTATACGATGAAGAGAAATGTACTGTCTCTCATTTTTTTATTTATATAATAAGATCTTTGTTTACATTTAATCTTTGTTCATGTTTAATTTGCTTTTTAGATGTTGTTGATATTAAAAAATTTCGTTGAAAAGTTTATAATGAATCATGAAATAACAGATTTGGGATTAGTCAAAGTAAAATGTATAATTTAAACAGAAAACGGATCATGAATTGTATTATATAATATATATACAATTGTAAAAATATATTGAACTTTGTGATGCTTTTAGATAACAATTATGTATAATTTACAATTTTTATAATTTAACGTGTTTAAGTGTTTAGTGAGACATTTATTCACTATATGTATATAGAAAGAAAAGAAATGTAGAATCTCTCATTTTTAAATTTATAATTAGATCTTTGTTTACATGTCGTCTTTATTCATGTTTAATTAATTTTTTAGATGTTGATGTTAACAAAAAATACTGTTATAGATTTTATAACGGAACACAATAAAAACTTTGCGATTACACCAAATTGATTGTAATAAGTAAAGAACATACGCGCACTAACAATCGCATATTAGTATATAATATATATACAATTGTAAAAATATTGAACTTTGTGAGATTCTTTTGGATAATAATTCTTTTAGATAACAATATGTATAATATACAATTTTTTATCATTTAACGTGGTTAAGTGTTTATTGAGACATTTATTCACAAAAAATCAATTAAAGTACAAATTTTACAGTTTGTGTCTTATATTTAGTTTTAAATAGTAGAACAAATAAATAAAAACGGAAAATATGCCGTAGTTGCATGGACCAACATAATAAACAGATGTTATATTGACATATAAATATATACATGTATAAGTTCGACTTTTGTAGATAAATACTATGCCCTATTTTTGTATGCAATGTCGATTGAGAATCAACGACGAATAAAATATATTTATTATTCTCTGCTATATTTATTGTATTAATTAATATAAACAATAAAATAAGAAAAATTGTGATTGTAAGAATTTGAATTAGTGCAGTAGAATATATAAATTTAAAAATTTAGATAAATTAATTAATTTATGAACTTTTTTAATACTTTAAGTATATGCAAAAGATAACATAATTAAAATTTACCATTTATTAATATATATTATTTTGAAACTTGTATAATCGATAGTGTTGCATATGTATAAGTAAAAACACGTATGTTAATAAAAGGCAATGATTTTTATATTTTAAATATACATAATTCTTTTGTATTGAAGGAAACGAGAAAAGCTTATAAATGATATTAGATTTTGTATGATATTAGTATAATTGCAGATTTATTGTAAATTCATGCAATTCTAAGATTGCTGTGCAACAATACGTTAAATTTTGTATTTTGAACAAAAAATAAACGCCACGCGTTAGGTAAAAGTATTTTTTCATTTTTGTTTTAAACTCATATTATTTGCGATCCATATTTATCTCGTATCCATGATTTTCACAAAATTATTACAACTCCAAATTAAAATAAACAGTCGACACAATGCACAGCACTGCATTTGTAAAGTGTAAAAATAAATATATGAAAATGAGTAAAATTTAATAAAATAATTAATAATTTGAAATAATATTATTTTAATTAAACTTAAATAATACATAATATAAATACATGGAAATTTAAAATAATTGACATATTTGAAAAAAAATTATTTTAATTAAGCTTAAATAATAAAAAAAAAAATAAATAAATAAATAGTGATAATAAAATAAATAATAAATAAATTATTTACCACGTTCTATCTTTTAAGCGCATAAGAAAAACTGGTAAATTTGCTAGATCTAAATTACATTTTCTGCGCATGTCGTAACAAATCCTTATACCTGTATCTTAGTGAAAACAAACAATAAGGCTTTAAAATTTGAGGTCAAATTTTATAATAAAGAACAGAACGTCTACAGTGTGGAAAACGTCTCTCGTGTACATCAAACACACATCTGTGCTCTTCGTAATCGGCAGACGCATTTCTTGTACTGCGAAAAGCAAGGAATTACGCGAATAGTTTATTGCAATCACTTTAATTTACATTCCTTTTTGTGTTTTGTTTCTCATAATGTCTGATTATAAGATAACGTGCTTACCAGAGGAGATAATAACCATCATTCTCGGCTGTAATGTTATCACTATGGAGGATATCATCAACTTTCGATGCGTGTGCCAGCAATTTCGTTATGCAGCAGCCACATATAACAAGTTCTTGGAAAAAAAGTTATTTCAGAGGTAATTCTTGTGATTTGTAAATCTTTTTGTTATTTTGTCTCATTAACGCCTGTCGCACAATGTATATCACTTCTGCGAAGAACGTATATTATAAATATATAATAAATACAAAATATTAGAAAAATTAGGTATGTTGCATTTATGTTGCATATTAAATTATTCGCTTTCATTTTTTATTGCTCAATAATTTTGGCAAACTCTACCGTTATATATATACATATATAATATACATGTACATATATATATATGGAATGTAAACTTTAAATATAATATACTGATAAGAATTCTTAATTTTCGGCTGTCATAAATTAAAAGACCAAATACTTTTCAACCGACATTTGTGTCAATTGATGTTTATTTAATTAATCACACAATGTTTTGACCACGGTGTTTCGACCATATAATTTTGGTCCTTCGCACACTTAACAGTAACATTTGAAAAGGCCAAAAATTATATGAAACGTTGTGTGATTAATTAAATAAATATTAATTATCTATATATATATCGGCCGAAGAATATTCAGTCATTAAATAATTTTTTTTAAATTTAATTATTAAAAATACAACAAAAAATAACTTTGTTTATTTATTATAATGTGTATTCTTCAATATATTTAATTGCATTTTTAAATATAAAAATTATATATATATATGATATATATTCGTGATAGAAACAAACAGATTTGATATTTTTCTATCGGTTCTTTTTATAAATAGCATTGAAATCACAATAAAATCTTTATAAAAGTAAAAAGCATGCCAAGTGACATATATAAGTACAGTCGACATTGTTTGTAAATATGCTTTCGAAAAATTGTTCTATAAAATATTAAAAAAAAACTTAATCTATACATACATACGCACATTAATGTTTATTAATTGATATACAATACACTTATAGAATTATGCAATATACATATTGGAATCAAAATTTGAAAAGTATAAATTAAATTACAAATTAAAATTGACTATTATATATTTTCTTTTTCTAATTAAAATATAAAAAGAAGTGTCATATATATACTCATGCTTTGAATTGTACACTTTAAAAATTTATTAATTTGAAAAATGACTTGTGCAATCACATTGTTTACTATCATCAAAGTTTGCTGTGTGGTATCTAAATAAAATTAAATAGAAGAACTGTAGCATCATCTTATCTACATATAGATAATAAAAATATGTATTATCTTTACATCTGCATCTCACAAATAAATAAAAAAAAATACTACTTTCACTATATTATTTATCTAAAATAATATTCAGATAATTTTGGTTTAAAATCATAGCACACATAAAAATACTTAAATCAGACAGTAAAGCGATAAAAATTTATAAATAAAAATATGTATACATATATGTTGTTTCTTTTTAATAATTTATATTTCTTGTATAACTGTGTTTACATAAGCAGTCTTAAATATTATTATCTAAACAATTATTTAAATAAATTGTCATATAATTATATCTTTTATCTAGATACACTTAAAACAAAATCATTTTTATCCTATCTAAGATTAATTTACATACTTTTATCTCATCTTTATCCAGCTAATTTTAAATTAATCGTGACACAACACTAAGTATCATTATCAAAACTTTATTACAATATTTTATGGTCGTATTTTAGATGGCCCTATGCAAAGAGAAGATATGAAAGTCTTACGGAAAAAGAAAAAGAAGAAAACCTAAACTTTGTTATAGTAGGCATAAATTCTGCGACACAATTGCGAAATTATTTGTCTCTAATTCTTTTTACGATTATTTTTACAATAATAAATCAAACAAAAATTATTTCAATGGCTCAATCAATAATATAATTAAATTCGATAATGTAATAAAATTATCGAGTAAAATCAATGAACATGTAAAGCATAAAAATATACTTTTACTTGAGCCTAGAAATAAGCTTATAAATGAGCTGCAATATATGTTTTATATTGAGGAGATTAAATGCTTGTTAACACCATTTCAAAAGTAGGATCTTCATATATATTATAATGCTACTATTATTACAATTTAATGTATTTATTCATTAGTTAATAATTCGATATATATAAATTTTTTAGAGGAATTGATCGCAAATCAATCGAAAGATATTGCAATATAGAAATGTCTCACTATGAAAAGCTATCCTCGATACGAAATGAGTTGGACAGATATAGAAAAAAACTAGAAAAAGAACAACTTTTGGAAGAAACGTGTACTTTCATGTCAAAATATATTCAAGTTCGAGAAGATGTATGTTACACAATGTAAGTGCATCATTGGATACAATCGCACAAGAAGTACGGAATCGTCTCAGAAACAAGCATCTGAACCATTCGATATTCTCCATGTCTGATGAAACTTTTCTTATTGGAACACCAACAATATCAAAGATAATCATTGGGATGAAACAGAAAGTACGCAGATTATGGATACAATCCAGGAATATATATTTAGCATCTTGAACTTTCGAGCATGTGCCTGCCATTTCCACCCAAAGATATCAAATGCATTTGTATAGATTATGTAAGTTATTAGAGATTATAATATATATATTTATGGGCCATATATGTATACGTTATATGTTGTTTTTAATATTGTCTCGCTTTGATTAATTTATTCTGTATTATACCTGGCACAGGTTTACAAAGTAAATCTGGTAAAGATATCATTGTATATAAATATTTCATAGCGTGGCAAGAAGACTTGGTCTACGTTGCGATGTACTAGATATTAAAATGAATTCTTTATATTTGGAAACCAGAATTGTAAGTTAAATATATGTTAAATCGACATTATCATTATTTCACACGATATCTTTCTTTTTTTATTATACGTCATACATATATAATTTTTTTTAAATTTTCATATGATTAAGGTAATATTTTAATTGTTTACAGCGTCACGAATAATTTAGAAAATGCAGATGTTTTTACATAAAACCCGGGTATTTCCCGAATTGTCTTCGGATTTTCTACCAAATTACAAGTCTTGTGAAACAAATAATGACGTCATCAATAGAAACTAAAAAGTTGAAACTTATTTATTACATCTATTAATTTTAAGTTATTAATATACTTGTAAATTTACTAA